GCTGAGGGAGAGCGGGAGGAGAGAACCATGTCTCACGGGGCGCGAGTGATCCGCACCGGGGTGAGCAGCGGGGGTCCGGCGGGCCCACCGCCCCCCGCCGCCTCCTCCTCAGCGGGATCGGACGCCGAGCTCATGGACGGCGCCTATTTCCGCTCCTGCGCCGGCATGCTGAAGGTGGCCCAGATGGTAAGGGGCGAGCGGGGCCGGGCGGGCGGGGGGCGACCGTTGTTGGACCGCGTTGGCCCCCACCGGGTGTTTCTCTGGAGAGCGTCGTCGAGGGGTCGCGGCTCGTTGCGGGGTTTGGGGCGATTTCGCTCCTGGGGTCTCTCAGCCCGCGGGGAAGGAGCCCGGCCCCCGTTCCTCTGGCAGAGCCGGGCGTCGAGGTCCCTCAGGGGCCGCCTTCGCGCTCCCCCAAGGCCGCCATGGGCCCTTCTCCTCAGGCAGACCCACCTGAGCCCTGTGGAGCGCCGCTCGCTCAAGGTGCTTACTGCCTGCTGGTATCTTCGTCGTGGCAGCTAATGGCAATTTTTAGGATTAAGTGATAACTGGCAAAACCCTGATGCAGAGGCACACTGTGCTCCGGTGGAACACCTCCTTCTTTAGCACAGGTGAGTTTTTGGGAGAAAGCCGGGGCCAAGTGCCGGCGGGCTGGTAAGGACTCAATGATCTCGGAGGTCCCTTCCAGCCATTAAGATTCTGTGTGATTCTGTGAGGGTGGGCACCGTGGCCGTGACTACTAGTCTCCCTGGCTCTGTGCCCCGTCTGCCACAGACCCCCAGGCAGTGCCCCGGTGGCCCCATGAGGGGTCTGGGGGATGTATGGCTGAGGAGCAGGAGAAGACTTGGACAGCAGAGCGCTGCCAGGGTTTCAGCTGGTGCCTTACCTTGACTCGGTGCAGGAAATTTTGCCCCATCTAGATGCAGAGAGGTTTGGCAGATGGATAAGCTCTTTCTCATTTCTGTGGTACATCATTTGTCATCTTAATTCCATTAATGGCCGTGAACGATGACGGATGGCTGGTAATGAGGATGGAAGACAACATGTAGTGATAACTTCTCACACACAGTCTCGTCCTGCAAAAACTTCTACCTTGAACTTTTCGTGCAGGAGTTGTTGCTTTCATTTCTGATAGCCCCAAATAGCTTCCCCCTCCTTCCCCCCACCTTTATTTGTCTACTCTTTTTTTTTAATGTTTTTCACCTGTGTAATTTATTAGCATCCACAGAGTTCTAAATTGATACTAGAGGTTAGGAATCATTTTGTTCTAGGTTACAGTGGAGTAATATCACATCCTAAAGTTTCTATTTAAAAGGTACCCAATTTCTTCCAGTCTATTAAGAGCCTTCAGCTGCCTTTAGAAGTGAGCCTCAGTAGCAAGAGACATAACTGAATGTGGCTGGGCAGGGTTCACCACTGCAGAAAGAACTGTTCCTTTTATGGGCTAGAAATACCTAGTCCTCTCTGCTCTCCATCCTGCTGTGGTGTCACTACAGCTATGATGTGTGACTCCTACAACAGGCATTTGTGCTGAAATTTCAGTTTTGGTGCACGTGTGAAGCGTGTGTGCATACTTTACATACTTAACATGTTTTTATGTAGTGTATGTAAATCTATGTATTTTTATGTGATCCTTCACAGACTTAACATAAAGTAATATTTTATCAATGCTGTTCAGTATCAGTTTAATCAGAATTTAAGCTAGTGGTTTTCTGCGGTGACTTTAACAGAAGCTAAAATGATGTAAATGAATTTCTTTCAGATTCATGTTCTTACATTTTTCTGCTTTCTTACTCACCTGTAAATAACATCAGTAAAAGTTACCTCAGGTATCCGTGGAACTTTGGGCAAATGAATTTCTTTTAATGTGGTATCACGGTGGTGGTGTCTTCTCAAATAATTCCCTAAGAAAACTAAACGTTTGTGCTGCAGTGAAATAACAAGGGCAGGTTAGGTCTAGATTAATTCTTGCACCCAATAAAATACAGAGCTAAGTATTTTCACAACTCTTCTTTATCTCTTCTCAGACAGTATTTCCAGGGATCCATTTCTATTAGCATTCAGTTCTCCTAGTAAGACGTAAGCGTTTGCGGTATCCTTCTTTGAAAAGGATTCTTTATGCTAAATCTATGAACATTCCTGCATTAGTGTTAGTGTGGCTGGTGGGACTGTGGCCTTATGAAGAAGGAGAACCTGGCAGAGGACAAAGGTCATGTCTTTTTGGTTAGACACATATCACACTAAATTGCATGCTGGGTCTCTGAAAGGTTGTGGTTATGAAGAGGGAACATGACTTTCTGTTTTCTCTTTCTTCCTCAATCCCTTTTACCTAGAAGTAAATGGTATGAGAGAGAACAGGAAAGAAACGTTTCCTCACTTACTGTAATCTTAAGGGCGGTTTGCAGTGCTTGTAGGCTAAAAAAAAAAAAATAAATTGACTGTATGTATATGTGCATGAAATAATTCTAATAGATGCCAACAATATGCTATGGAAATTATATGAAGGAAAGAGAAAATAATGTTACAGCTGTTCTTCTGTAAGAAAGATCATAACACGAGGACTAGAACTCAGCAGTCTTGGACAAGATCAAGAGATTGTGCAGAAGTCTGATGATTATTGAATTGTTGCTAATGTCTAAATGTTACCGGTGCTTTCTCTTCAAATTCTGGGTGCTGTGGTATCTAGCATTGAACAAAATTAGGAAGTAAAAAAAATGTTTCTTACCCGTAAGCCTACGCAAATTCCTTCACATTTTTTTGCTAGAGAATTTCTTTAACCTTGCAGAATGATTATAGCTTTGAAAAGATAATGCATTTCATACACTGAGTCCTGTGCTTTCTAATGCTTAGGGAATGGTCTGTAAATATTTTGAAAGAAAAATGGAGGAGAGAACAGCATTCTGTGACTTGTGTATTTTACATGGCAGTAAGACAGTTTGAAAGCTGTTTTTCATGCATGAGCAATGTTAGCAAGGGCTCCATTTTCAAAATCCAATCTGAATTGGCACTCTGATTTTAAAAGGGAGTTATGAAGCGTCTTCAGCATCTGACCCACTTCAACTGGTTTAACTTAATGGCGATTAATAGAGCTTTTTCTTTTTATTTTCTTTTCTCTTTGTTTTTCTATTTGCAGTTTTGCCATGATCTCTTATATTCATGGGGGTACGTGGAGAATCCCATTGTGGCCACCTTGGTTCTATAGCAGCAGTGTACTAAGTAAGTGTGTCAGTGGCTGTGTATCAGTGTGCACAATACACTTCTACCAATGACTTGAATTTTAGCCAGCTTGGCAAAATCAGCACATGTGGCAATCTTCAGTATGCAACAGTAACTATGCTGATTTGTTTGAAGCATGCTCTGTCGCCATGCTACTGCTGGCTTGCTCTATTGCAAGACTTTTTCTAGGAACCCATGCTACTTAGCTTGGCAAGTTCTCAGTAGGTGGGTTCTTGGAAGCCTCTTGAGGCATCCTGTGCCAACGGTAGAGGCAGCAGTATGAATTTGCATCCATATGGTCACCAAGGTGGCTCAGGTGGCAGTGTTCATAGATTGAAACAAGTCTGATTCCACTGAATTGTTTGTGGAGCCCTTTTGTGCCTTTTATATTTTTACGACTGAAGTCTGGAGGATGCCTCAGATTCTGTATGGGACCACTGAATTGTTTGTGGAGCCCTTTTGTGCCTTTTATATTTTTACAACTGAAGTCTCTGATTCCACTGAATTGTTTGTGGAGCCCTTTTGTGCCTTTTATATTTTTACGACTGAAGTCTGGAGGATGCCTCAGATTCTGTATGGGACTAGGTCCTGCTTTCAGCACAGCCTATGTTGGAAGTGGAGCCTATACAGGTATCCCATCTTAGGCAGTTGGCTGGTAGGAATGGCTGTGACTGTATCACCTGTACAAAGTCTCTGATGAAGACATCCCCAAGAGTGTGACCAATATAGACTGAAGAGAGAAAAGAAGTGTTGAGAGCTCACGTGTAGAAGGAGAGCCATCACGGCACAGCACGTGCTGGTGTCTGTCTCTTAGGCTTCTCATACTTTTCTTGGAATGTTCCTTTTTTCTGAACTCTGAGTGGTTCAGAGGTGGCCCATAGTCTTCTTCACTTCTCTTTCCTCTCCTTCAGGCTGGGCCAAGCTAACTTTGACCACAGTTCAGTGGTGAAGGTGATTGTTCCCACAATAACGCTGCTGTTACTGAGTGGACAGTCAGCACAGCCTCGGTATACAGGGCGTTTTAAGCTAAAAACAGTGCTGATTCTTTCAGCTCAATCTGAACCAAGAAAAAGAAGTTTCATCAGACAGAAGAAAATCAAAATTATCTTCTCAAGACTGAGGAAAATATTTGCAAACAAGTGCAAGGTAAAAAAGGATAAACTCACTAAAAGTTGACTTAACATCACTTTAACTTGCTAAAAATGCTAAGGCAATAGTTACAGCTTTTCTGCTGGGTATCTGTTTAATTTCCAAAGTATGTCTTGACAAAAACAATTACATATTTGATATGTGACAGGAACAGTCAATTTCAAGACAGTCTGTAACTCTGAGTAACTTTGAAGTGTGCTGAAACCTCTCTGGGTTATTTATATAGTAACATACAGTTGAGTAGTAGTATTCAAGAGAACATTAATACATCTAACACTGAAAGCTATAAGATGCTGGTAGGGAGGTTGCTGGAGTCAAGATCAATTTCTGAATGTGTTGGACGATACCACACAAATTTACTGGGGAGCTAAATTCAGAAGAAGTTAAAACATGAAAAGAAGGCAAAATCAGTTTGCGGAAGAAAACAATTCCTAATCAAAACCATTGATACAGGAAAACGAAATTCACAAAAGCAAATGATGCTTGGAATGATTTGAGAGCTACTCAATCTTCTAACTTGATTTTGGGCCTGAAATGTCTTTCAGTCCATGGAGGTGATTGAAGTAAAACATGTAATTCTTTCGAGCAGCTTGTCAGTGATGTACAATTTTGCCTGTATGGTTATAATCCTTCTCAGTCAGAAGAGAGGGAATCTGGTGATATGCAGAGATGCTGAAATTGTAAGCCTGTCTCTGCGTCCTGTGTAGACTGCACTTTCAGCTTTCCCCTACTGTCACCCTGTCTGTAGTTCTTCCGAACGAAAATAATGGTCAGAAGTTAACACGTTTGGTGAAAAGCACCAGATGCTAACCTGCAAAACTTAG